TGTGTCATAGAAACAAGGTCATAAAGTGACTTGTGTAATGTGTGGATAGAGACCCCAATTTCCCCTCTTACCAATGTCAATTAGGAATTAAGCTCTGCAGTTCAGTATTTGCACCAATATAAAAGTGCTGAGTCAGGGAAGACTCAGGCCTGTCATCGTATTTCAGAGATGCAAGTTTCACAAGAGATTTGACCATGAGCCATGTCTACTACACTGTGCTAGGAAGCACTGCACGGAAAGCATGTCCCTTTTGCTTGTTCCTGTTCTGTGTGCACTGCATATGGAAAACATGTTGCCATGGTTGGACTGGTACTGGGTGTGCCCTGTGTCTGTGTCAGCACTTACTGCGTGGCATTCTTCTGCCATGAGGCATGTGTAGAAGCAGGAAGAACTGGACATGTTTTCACAGTGGATGGTGCTAGAGCAGTGGTGCTTAACCGTTTGGCCCTGCAAACTGGATGAGTGGTCTGGAGCCAGTCCATGGGGGTGGGACACAGGGTTGGGCCCTGTGCAGCCTGAATTGAGCCCTGAGCTAGCTGGATCTTGCCCTGTGCCACTCCAACACTGCATCCAAATCTAGCACACAGAACCATGCTATCCAGACTGCAGGGCTCCTCATTGGTATGAACATTTGGCAGCAGGGGAGTAACAATTAATGCTGCCACCACTCCCTCACCATCAAATTTTCAGGTCTGTGGGGAGCCCTGTGGGCCAGAAGATGCAACTCCATTGGCCAGAACTGGTCCATGGACTGGGGGTTGATCACCTCTATGCTAGAGAGAGCTGTCCTTGTGTAGACACACTCTACAACGGGTTGTCAACTGGGGGTACACATATCCCCGGGGTACTTTGAAAGGGGCTAGGAGGGGCGGGTAGGGATGGAGTGCCACCATCAACCACCCCGTGCTGCCGCCTACCAGGAGCTGGGGGTGGGGGGAGGACAAGGGTGTTGACTCCCCTCTGTGGTCTGCACAGGCGCTGTCTGACTGGCTGGATGCCGGGGGGAGCTCACATGCGGTGGCCTTTGCCACTGTCCGCTACCCCTCGCTGCTGTCACGTGCAAGCCCCACCCCACTCCGCGTCCGACTGCTGCCACTTCACCAGAAGTGTACCCAGAAGAAGACCATAGTGAAAAACATGTAGACCAGCTAGCAAACATTAAAAGTTTTATCCTACAAACACTCATGTATGTGAGCAACTTGACTACATTAGTTTTCCTTAAGACTATATATATGAGCAAAGTTCCATACATAAATAATTTGTAGTGCATGCCTTTGAAAGGCTTGTTTGGCTGTATGGTACATATATGGCAAAGAACTTACCCAGGCATGAGGTTTTTGCCAGTTATGTCTATAAAAGATAAGGGCATCTATTTCATATTTGTAATTAAAAAAATACTGTTGAACTGTTTCTTTCTGTGATACCACGTTTAGTTTCTGTAATGTCTTTGTTCTCTACCTTTCTGTATTAACATCTTGCACAGCTAGCATGACCTGTCAGCCTTCTAGGTCTAATGTCTGTCAAGTCAATACAGTAAAAAAACCAGGTTGGGTAGTCCAGCTATAATGATGGCAGTTTGTGGCACAGAATTATAGACTATCTACTTTTCTCTATGGAAAGCTAATAATGCATGGAAAAAGTAAATTGATATCCATGTACCTGTTAAATTTAGGCTGTAAATTTAAGCAGTCTTTCACATTAACTGATCAAATTATGTAAATAAATGCAAGTATGTTTTAAGTTGGAATTTAATACGCTGATTAAACAGCTGTGTTGAAGTTGATGAACTAATTCAGCATGCTTAAAGATTGTTAAAAAGGTAGCAGTGAGGAAAGGAATAGTAGTGAAATACAGGTTATAAAACTTAATGGGGCTCCTATCCAACCATTCAGCATTTAGATCTTGATCCTGTGGGACTTCTGCATGTGTTTGAGTGCCCTGCTGATTTGAGACTTAGGTACCAGCAGTGGGTGTGCACAAACTTAGTTTGTAGCCACTTTACAAGGGAAGGGAGAGTTGTCACCTATAAGCTCACAGCTGCTGTTATACTGTAACTGCTGCGTCTGCATGATCCTGTAGTAATACAAATGAACTGAATGTACCTAATTTTGATGCTGGATGAAGCAAAGCTGAAGTTGAAACAGCTTTGCTGCATTTAGATCACCTATACCTAGAAGTTTTGAGCAGGAACAGGATCCTTCATCCCCTGAAGAGCTCATGAGGCCCATGTTATCCATTTTGCCCTTTCTGAGCTCTAGACCTACTTAAGGAGAGACAGAAGCAAGTCCCCTGTACAGCCACCAGAGTTTTCATTACAAGTCTTGCATGTATAGACTGATGAACTGATACCAAATATTCTCATTATGGTTTTTGCTTCTTTAGCTATAAGGTCACTTCTTTTTGCCTGTTTTGTTCTGTTGTCTCTTCAGAACACACTCTTCCTGGGACTTGTAAAGTAACACTCGTTAAGATGGTGGTAAAGCTGAGTTATCATAAGTGTTTATAGATGCTTCCATGTTCATCTTTTTTCACCACAGCTTTTGGGTCTTGACAAACTGTAATCTCAGTCTATGCAGTTCTGTGTTTCTTCCAAGATTAAAGAGCCTGAATATATGCAGCAGTTACTGAGCCTACAGAATAGCAGTGAACCTGTTATAACATTTATAAACTTGCACATGCCTTTTAAGTAATTATCTGAAGGAGAGAATATGATTCTATAATTATAATACAGACTCTAACAATCTCATAGGATGTGGTGCTAGTTGCTCTTTGGTTCAAGGAATTCAAGTTGCTGTCAGTAGCTTTAAAACTATTCCCATGGTTTTTAAGATGCATCTCTCCAAAGGTCATCCTGTTTATTCTGGCCAGCGTAATGCAGATCATGTGACAAGGCATTTAGGCCTGTTCTGCATATCTACTTTGTGGGGGTCATGAGATAGCTACTTCAGTTCAGCACATTGTGTATCAGTTTCTTCTGAGCCATCAGCATTTTCTCCTTTTAACGTGCAATATTGAATACGCCTATAGGACAAGTAAGGCTGATAAATTCAGAAGCAGCATGTGTGTACATGTATATAGATCATAATTCCCTTAGCTGCACTATAAAAATAATACTTGGGTTCCTAAATAGAAAGGGATTTTTTCATTCTATGTATGCTATTCTAATTTAATTTAACTTTTTGTAATGTTTTGTAACATCTGACCAGAAATTAATTGAAAATCTTTTGACTTGGATGCCAGTTTAAGGATGTAGCCACCTGCAGTAGGCATCACAATGTACAGCATAGGTAGAATGCTGCCCTCACTTCATTACTGCACTGTATCACATGCTCTTGTTTCTGTCAGTGTAACAGTGTATATTATTCTTTAGGTCTTTAAACCTTAAAGAATGATTGATACAAAGTTCTGATATCTGTTTCTTAGGCCTCTGACAGATGTTACACTTAAGATGTGATTAACTGGTTAATCATGTCTTTAGTGACCTGGTCACAAGTTTAATCAATTAATGGCATGATAAAATGAGGAATAAACAACAACAACATTACTCATACTGTGTGACTTTGTGACTGGTTTCTGTCAGACCTTTAATTCAGCATGTGGCCCAGCCTCTAAAGCATAGGGGAGCCTTTCAAGACTGTGCTCCAGGGGCTGGGAGTCCCCACAGCTGATCAGGGTTCCCAGCTGGAGACTGCACTCTGCAGCTGGTAGCCCTAGTCAGCAGATTGGAGTTCCAGTTAGGGGAGTATATGGTGCCCTCCACCCCATCCCCATGGGAGTTGAGCTAGCTACTGAGGTCAGGCCAGCAATATGGTGCAATGTATCTGATGTGGGATCCCACAGTCATGCCTCCTGCCGTGCATGTGTGGCATGACAGGAAGCTTAATTATTGGGATCCCACATCAGATCCCATTGCACCTTTACTTTAACGTCTGTCAGGGCCCTCATTGTGGAAAAGAAGGTGGAGGGAAGGGGGACATCCTTACAACTGCATGTAATGGTCATACCCTGTGAACTGTAGGCATGCATTCTCGGCCTGGACCAAATGTTTCAGTGTGGGGTTGGAACCTCATCTTTTATTAGTTACAATAAGTTACATATATTCAGCAGTGAAAGCTTGAATAACTTTTTTCCCATTAGTTAAAGCGGTTGGGTGTTATACAAGCTTTCCTATAAGGCAGTTTATTCTTATGTTTGCTCCTTTGATCTTTAGTTGTTACTGTTCCCCCTTCCCTTTCACACTCCAGACTCTTTTCCATTTGTTTCTCATAGGCGTACCTATGTTGGCAGTATGCCTGGCCGAATAATCAATGGCTTGAAGACTGTTGGGGTTAACAATCCAGTGTTCCTGTTAGATGAGGTTGATAAACTGGGGAAGAGTCTGCAAGGAGATCCTGCAGCTGCTTTGCTTGAGGTGAGATATAAAACAATCCTCCTTTCATTCAGTTGCACTCTGTCACTTCTAAGAATTGTTTCATTTTGGATTATCAGGGTTTAAATATTGTTCTCAAGAAGATTGAGGGTCGGTTTGGAGAAGGGATAGGGAGAATTTTACTGAATGAAAAAGAAGCTGAAATGGCTTCTGCATTGCTAATCTGTGATGATAGCTGGACTTTTCAGTGTCTTGTGTACAGTACCTGCTGGGTACTGAATAGATTTTTTTGTTAGCAGTGATCTGTGCCTAACTGTTAGTCCTTCTGTTGATTTCAGCATATAGGGAAAAAAAAGTTATTTTTTAAAATAATGTGTTAAACTTTGCAGAAGAGTCCATTTTTAATTTAATTATAGCTAAAAAGGAAGTCTGGTAAATATACAAGTACTGTATATTAGATCATGTAAGTCTTTGAATGGAAAGATTGTTTTATTAATGTAGCGTTAGTTGAAGTGGAAGAACTCATATGCATTACCCAATAAATAGCTGGATTTTTCTTGGGTGTTTTTCTGAGAACTATTTGTGATTTTTAAGGCTTTTGTGGGTACAGGCTAATACCATAACAAGGTAAGTGGCCCTGGACAAGAAGGATAGCATAAGTTAGTGAACACCTACTTGGATACAAATGCTTCTATATTTACATTTCTTGTTTGAAGAAGCTGAATAGTTTTTGTACATTAGTTAGCATTTTCCATATACTACAGAACTTATGCCGTTTCAAGGTGATTTGTAGCTGTCTGGTATAAATTGCTGTTGTGCCATTTGAGCTTGAACTACCAGCAGTTGAACTGTTCCCTAACTTCTGAAATAAAGTTCTCTGTTTTTCGTTGTGTTGTTGAATGATCTTATGAGCTAATTATTTCTGTTTCAGTGTCTGTTCTACCCTATTATTTACTCAGATGATGGTTAGATGTTGAATGTGAACCTTTTGACTTTTTAAAAAATGAATAGTGAAAATCTGTTTCTCAGCTGCATTCTCCATGCAAACCCATTATGGACATTCTTATATCCTTAAGTTTGTGCTCACTACCACATCTTTAACTTGTTTCCTAGTGATCTTGCTTTTCTTTGTTTCTTTCCAAAGTGACATAAGCCACATCAACATGTATGAATGGCATTGTTACACTTATAACCCACTTATGGGGGTGAAGTCTGTAGACTGCTTAAATGTTTGGAGATTGATGTTCTGTCTTAAAAGAGAACTCGTGCCTGAGGGTGTCTGTAGACATGTTGGGAGTCTGCTCTGATGCGCTGTAATTGCAGCATGTCAGAGCAGACTCAATTAATCAATGAATCAAGTCTGCTGGAGCATGCTAATTAGCATGCTGCAGCCAACCTCTGCATCTTGTGCATCAGCCTCCCTGCACTCCAAATGGTAATGGGGCCACTCTAACTGAAGTGGCGAGTAAGCTCTTTCAATGAGCTTTAGTTAAAGCACCCCCACCACCATTTTGAAGTTCAGGGATGCTGATACAGGAGACAGTGCTACACTCTAAAGTACCCCCCCCACTCCCAGAGTAGGTGTAAAAATGCCCTGAATGTTTGCCTTTTTTCATTTTGAATGAATGACTATGGATGTCAGGGACTGAAGCATTCTCTTGTGGGTAGGTCTGTAGAAGCAGCATTTCTGGTCTTGTCCTCTTTGAGGCAGAGCTTCACAGAACCCCAGTAGTGAGATATATGCCCAGCTTACAGTCCCTTCTTGTTCTGAGGGCTCACTTGGACATGTCCTCTTATATTTAAGGCTAGATTTTTCCACCTAAAGAGAAAGAGTTAGGGGAACCCAGGTCCATATTCTCCTCCAGGTTCCAGTCCCAGGACCTTGTTTTAAGCAGCTAACATATGCTCTTAACAATTGCTTGCTACTTCCATGGGCTTTCCTTCCTTGATAATGAATATTTTTTTCCAGTGGTATGCTCTGATAATCCCTCTTTTGTACTGTCTCATTTTATGGTTTCTTTCTGTCTCTGGGTTAGGAACTTCAAGTCTATTCCTTACCTCCATCTGCTACCCCTTTTGCTGTCATGCCAGGTATTGGTAGTTGGACACTTAACCCCCTTACAGGAATTCAGTTAAAGGTTCAGTGGGATCTTATCCACAATCCCAGTAATCTCACCTTCTGCCATGCTGTGCGCGCCCTTAGCTGCAGTGCACTTCTGAGGCTGGGAGCACTAGTTTGCTCACCGGTTTGGCTACACATTTCGTTTAAGATGTGATGGGAACCAGCCACAAAGTTGTTACAGCCACAAAGGTGTAACAACTTTGTGGCTTATTCCATGTTTTATTGTGCTATTAATAGAATGAACATGTGGCCAGGGGTGACTTGTAAGATGTGGTTCACTGGTTAACCACATCTTAAGTGTAATGTTTGCCAGGGACCCAAGTTGCACCTGGAGAAGTAACTGATCTGGTGATCAGTTTTAACCCTGTCTGACCTGTTAAGTCTGTATACCCAGCACAGATACTTAAAAGTTCTGAAGTTTATGTTCTGCCTCCTCTAACAGAACATACAGCTTTTTTTTTATCTGCTTTGGTATGTATTAGAAGGTCCATTTTGAATGATGAGTATGACTGTTATGTAGGAAATGATCAGCTAAGCAGGGCATCTATTTTTCAAACTCATTTCTATCATTTCTCTGCTGGCTAGCTGTCATTGCTAACCTGAAATAGCCCCCTAAAACATCTTAATGTTTAGATGAGTTTATAATAGTGATAATCCTCAGTGGTTCTAGTGTAGAGGGTTAAATTTTAGATGAAATGTACCCTATCCCAGAACTTGAAGGCAAATTAATAATTGCTGGATATGTTTTTAGTCCTGGTGCTTCTCTGGAGTTATTACTTAAGCAAAACAGAATGTCTTCCTATTTCCAGTTACTGTTCGTCAACAAGGGAACATTTATTCTAAATTTAGATGACCTCTGTTGAAAGCTGAAGAAAATAAAAATGGATCCAAATGCTTGATAGCGAGTGTGTGTTTGTAAGCAGAGAAATCACATTGAGTGTATAGGCAGAGTTAAACATTCGTGGGACTTGATCTAGATTTTGTGCTAATAAAATTTTTGGGACAGGGAAGCCTCTTTATATATGTGAGAAACCTAGCAAGACATCTGTGTTCCTAAACATTGGGTTTTTTGGTGGGTGGAGGGGAGGGGGTTGGCATTATCATTTTCCAACTTTCTAATTTCTTGGGAAATGTTTAAATTATGCATATGAAATATACATGTATTGTTAGAGTGTATTTTGTTAGCCTTGTATGTTCTAAGTACATAAGTGTAGTGTTGGCTTTTGTGGCTTTTTAGAAGTACACAACATGGCAAAGGAGAGTTACTAATGGGGGGAAAAGATGACTTTTCATGTCTTAAAGGCAGACAGAAAAACCCCTTGAAATGTTATATGGTGATTTTTAATTTCACATATTTATATATAACTGAATCTTCTGTTAGCTTCCATTACATATTAAAAATGTGGTAAAAATCACAGTTTTATTTATTTTACTTTAAGATGCTTGCCCATAGCTTAGCCCTAAAAAGCATTCAATGAGATGTGCTTACAGGCAAGGGTGGAGAGGAGGATTGATGTGTGTACTTAAATGAATTTTAAAACCCAGTAAAGATTATTTAACTAATACTGCGAATGCCTTTAGGAACTATGTTTTCAAAATCCCGTGGCTCTTTTATTTTCAAAAGAATATAATGTACACTTCAGAGGTGAGGCCTACCTGGGTGCATAGTTTTATATTTCTACACAGTAGCTGTATCTACACATGTGCTTTACTGTGGAGTAGACGAATTAGCTGCAGACTAAAGTCACTGTTTACACTTGCAAGGTATTAGGCCATAGTAAACTAATTAATGTTGGCGCAAGATAGTACTGTTGGGAACAGTACTGTCTTAGTGCTGGGGTAATTTACTGCGATTAAAAGCATGTGTAGATGCTCACTGCAAGTGTAAATTGTACCCGGTCAGCCCAGCCAGCTGGGGGGCCAGACTCCTGCCTGCTGCTTAGCTACACAGCTCTGTGCTTTCAACACTCTTGTGCCCCAGTCAGCCCCTCTGCTGCCTGACAATGCCACCCGGAGCTCAGGGCAGACCTCTCCCACCCCCTCATGTCCCCTACCAGTCCAGGCCTGCTCCACCCTAGCTCAAATTGCTGCTGTCCCAGGCACGTATGTAAACATTGCGCCCCGGAGTAGTTTACTCCAGCTTGAATTGCTTCAGAGTTTATTGCTTCCCGTTAATTACATGTGTAGTAGATGTATTGAAATACTTGCAGGCTTAAATGATTGTATAGAAAAAATCAAGGGCTGGATTTGAAGCTGCTTTGAAAAGCTTTAACTGTAAGCTCTAACCAATGCTGCCCGTGGAAATAAGATCTTTTTTTCTCTAGTAGTGAAATATTTTTTGTTCCTGTACTGCAGAGATTAGTAGATACTATGGCAAAGCAGCTCTACTCCAAAAGGAACAACAGAGTAAACTTGCAATATAAAAATTAATTGTTTGATCATTGTTGATTTTTATTTGTTTAGTATGAAGAAAATCTGTAGAAACTGTTTAGATCATTTTCATATAATTAAATATGCTTCCAAGTCAGAACTAAAATGTGATAAGGAAGGCATATCTTCAAGTGCCATTTTAAGGTGCTTTAGTCACTTTTAAGGCGCATTAAGGGCACAGGTCTACATGTGCGTGCCCTTAATGTGACTTTAAAAATGGTGATTTTAGGTTATTCGCGCCTAAAATTTGATACCTGCAAAAGCATGCATCAAATTTAGGTACAAATAGCTGAAGTGCCTTAATCCACATGTAGACACACTAAGGCATGATGATTCTGTGTATGTCAACTGACTTGGGGCTAACTTTAGTCCCAAGTCGGTCTACATACCATGTTAACACACCTTAGTGTGTGCATGTGTAGATGAGCACCTAAATTGCCTAAATGCGCATTAGGCAAATGCACATTAAGTTAGGCACTTGTAAAAGTAC